GCCGCATACAACGTCATTCTCGGTCGGCCGACCCTCAACAAAATCAGAGCCGTCATCTCGACCTACTACCAAACTGTGAAGTTCCCAACCCACGCCGGGATCGGAGAGATCACAGGAAGTCCTCGAGAATCCCGGCGCTGCTACCTGACCGTCGTCTCGTTACACAAGAGGGCCAGGATCGAATCGTCGTTGGCAGACCCCCGGGAAACGCAGAAGCCAGCCCCCATCTTGAGCCGAGGGGGTCCACCATCGCTGTGCCACTATTGGAGGATCGACCGGAGCAGACGGTTAGGATCGGGTCAGAGCTACCCGAGCAAGAACGAGGATAGCTCGTCGGCCTCCTACAGAAGAACGCTGATGTCTTCGCCTGGTCGCCCTCTGACATGACAGGCGTCGACCCGGAAGTCGCCCTACATCACCTCAGTGTCTCACCTGACGCCCGCCCGGTAAAACAAAAGCTGAGACGGCAGGCCCCGGAGCGGCAGGTAGCCATGCGAGAGGAAGTGGCTCGACTCTTGGAGGCAGGCTTCATAAAAGAAGCCAGATACCCGTAATGGCTATCTAATGTAGTCCTCGTCAAGAAAGCTAATGGAAGCTGGAGGATGTGCGTTGATTACACCAGTCTCAACAATGCATGCCCGAAGGACTGCTATCCCCTTCCGAAGGTCGCCCAGCTGGTCGACGCCACGGTAGGTCATGCCCGCCTCTCATTTATGGACGCCTTCTCGGGATATAACCAGATCAGAATGGCGCCCGAAGATCAAGAGCACACGACCTTTCTCACCGATCAAAGGGCTTACTTTTACAAAGTCATGCCCTTCGGATTAAAGAACGCCGGGGCAACATACCAGAGAACGGTGAACAAGATGTTCGCCCACCAAATCGGGCGGAACATGGAAGTATACGTCGACGACATGATCGTGAAGAGCCAAGAGGCCGGAGCTCACCTAGCCGATCTGACCGAGGCATTCGCCACGCTACGCAAGTTCGGCATGCGACTCAACCCCGCGAAGTGCGCCTTCGGCGTCACGTCGGGGAAGTTCCTCGGGTTCAGTATACACGAAAGAGGAATTGACGCCAACCCGGAGAAGGTCCAGGCGATCATCAATATGCAATCACCCCGGACGATCAAAGACCTGCAGCGCCTCAACGGAAAGCTCGTCGCCATGTCCCGCTTCCTCGCCCGATCAGGTGATCGCTGCCTCCCCTTCTTCAGGGCGTTGAAGAACCCGAAAGGTTTCCAATGGACGACAGAATGCGAGGAAGCCCTCAAGCAAGTGAAACAACACTTGGCCAACCTCCCTCGGCTTGCCTCAGTCTCTCCCGGGGAGAAGCTGAGCATCTACCTGGCTGCCTCCCCGCACGCAGTAAGCTCCGTCCTGGTTAAGGAAAATTCCGGTGAGCAGCTCCCGGTCTACTATGTCAGCCACGTCCTCAACGGTCCTGATGAACGATAC